TTCAAATTATCATATCGAAGTTAGAAATTCAAATATTGTGACAAAATTAATTTTGTAGGGTGCCACAAGTTTGTTAAAATTTCCAAAGGGTGCCGCGACTAAAAAAAGGTTGGGAAACACTGGCCTAAACTTTAGAGGATTTGTTTTGGAGAGAAACTAATAACTGTGTTTATAATGTTTGTAAACAGTTTGCTTTAGCCTACAGGTATTTTAGCCTTCATTATTCGGAATGTAGGCTAATAGGGCTAACAAAATGCGGCGTGTGGTTTTTAAAAAGCCTTTTTCCAAAAGGTACAACTGGAAAAAGGGGGGTCGTCTTATATTCGGGCCAATACGGTAAAACTCAATTGGTCAATGTGACCAAACATGTCTGCCCCCATGAGGAGACCCACTGTGTGTTAAATAAAACCGCTTTTATTAGGCTACTAATTCAGAGAATTGTTTCTAAACACATTATAAATGTTAGAAATGCATTGCTGAAACGCGTTAAAAAGATTGTGAATGATGTAGAACTGAATTGTGGAGTTAGACCGTTAAATAGTTTTTCACCATTTTTGTGCACAGGATTTTTTGGGCAGGCCTGAAATCATGTCTCGATGACGCACTGAGCCCCTCTCCTAACACTATAAGAGGTGTGTTCGACTTGAAGCAGCGCTGTGCAGACCGATCAGTGTTATGTTTTTAAGCTTTTTTTAATATTAAAAAAGGACTATAAAAATTTTTTAATGATTAAAAAATGGCTGTGTGCACCTTTAACACAAACACATTTTTTTTTTGCATATAAACCCCATGAGGAGACCCACTGTGTGTTAAATAAAACCGCTTTTATTAGGCTACTAATTCAGAGAATTGTTTCTAAACACATTATAAATGTTAGAAATGCATTGCTGAAATGCGTTAAAAAGATTGTGAATGATGTAGAACTGAATTGTGGAGTTAGACCGTTAAATAGTTTTTCACCATTTTTGTGCACAGGATTTTTTGGGCAGGCCTGAAATCATGTCTCGATGACGCACTGAGCCCCTCTCCTAACACTATAAGAGGTGTGTTCGACTTGAAGCAGCGCTGTGCAGACCGATCAGTGTTATGTTTTTAAGCTTTTTTTAATATTAAAAAAGGACTATACAAATTTTTTAATGATTAAAAAATGGCTGTGTGCACCTTTAACACAAACACATTTTTTTTTGCATATAAAAATGCATACATATAAAAATCTCAAACATTTCCCAACTTCAGAGTTAACATAATCAGTGTCTACTTCCACACTGCACTGCCTGCCACAGCCTGCCTAAACTCATATTCAGAAACGGATAATTATCTATAATGAAGAGGTAGTGTGAATAGCTGTGTACCATGAAACACACACTTATGAGTGTGATAATTACATAATCTGCTTAACCTGGCGTCTTTGTCCCTTCTATCTCTCCCAGTCTAATCCTGTTTGTTTGATGCAGGCCTGTCCTGGGACAGCAGTCGCATGGGCCTGGGCCGGGAAATTATTACGGTTTATGCAATTATGGGAGGAAGATGTGAGCGATTCCCACACAGAGCGCTTGGAAGGAAGGAACAGGGGGGGAAGAGATGGAGCGAGCAGCTGTTTCCGTTTAGCTTTTGACTGAAGAGCGTGATGGGAGCACGAGGTGTCCGACCATAGTCTTCGTAACAATGCCCATGGACACACAAACACACCACTAACCACTTCCACTGTTGATTTATCGTTGGCTTAATCCTCACGAGTGCATTTAACTACAGAAATGAGGATTTTCCACTAAATGACTGCGTCATACTGCTAACACTAACTTGCGTGGGAAAAGAACAATGTGTTTTATGACAATAACAACTTCCCATTTCACTTTAATGCACTTTAAGCCAGATAATTCATATTTAATGCTGTAAACCAGTGATATAGTGTTAGGAATATATAGTATAAGGTCACTATCAGATGTGTACTGTTAGTAATAGTATATTTGTTGTCATAAAATGGTAGGTAGGTATAATATAAAGGGAGGTAGGTATAGTATAAATATATATTAAACACATTTCTAATTTTTACAGCAACTGCTTTTCATTCATTCATTTAGCTTTGCTTATTACTATGAGACCAACAATGTCAACAGTTGTTTATTTGACATATATCTGGAATACCGCTTTTAAACACATTACACAAAAGCTCATAGCTTATTGGGGGGGTCTGATGTTCTGAGAATGTTCTTAGTGCCTATTCTCATTTTGTGAGAACAGGTCCACAGGAATGCATTTATATCATTGGTTTTCAATCAGGGAGCCTCAGCAAACTTCAAAAGGACTTAAAATGAGACATTAAAATAAGACAAAACAAGCAATAAAAAATTGATTATATACATTTATATATAGACTATTAGAAACTAGAAAAAAAATTACACATATATATTTATTTCACCCCCTCAACAACTGGGTAATGGGTTGTGGGTTCCCACAGTCTACAAAACAATATTTGAGGCCACGTTTCAGTTTTTATTTTTATATTTTTAATTTTATTAATCAGAAAGCATGCTTAATTAAAATCATGAAACGTATACAATTTAATATCAATTTATTAAAAGTTTAACAAAATGAAATGGCCCTATGAAATGTTTTATTTTGTCTCACATTCTGTTTTATTGTTCTCAAATTCTGTTTAAGCATGTCTAATTATTTGAATGCATTAAAACTTAAAATGCATTAAAAATGCATTAATTTATTAAAATTCGTATTTCCCCCCCCCCAAAACTGATTTTGCCTACTTTTGATTTTCTTATGACTGTATTCCGCATCGTGGAAATCATAGGGCCATAAAATAATATATTTGGAACATTTATGAATTTGTTTTTCTCTTTAGAGCTCACCTTTTGCCATGCCATGTGTGTGGCACACTGCACACGACAGAGGTGAACATGAGAGCTGTGATGAACGAGAACAGCACCAGGTAGATCAGACCCTCTAGTCCATCATAACACACTCCGGTCAATGCCTGCACATAATCCTGCACACAAACAGAAAGACACAGCATTAAACGCACAATCATAGCACTGCACGCAAACACTGCAAATTCTGTCATCATTCACTCACTGCCATCCTTGACTTTCTTTCATCAGCAGAATAATGTTCATTTTTAGGACAACTGTCACTTTAAATGCCTTGCATGAAACAACACGCACACAGAAACCAGTCTCTGCTGGGTATGTGGATAACAGATACAGCAAAAAAAATGAACACAGTATGATAATATCCAGTGCTAGACTCTCTAACTGGGAACTTCGTGGACTAGACAGCACCATGTGCTGCAGAGAGAAACAGGGCTTTTAATAAAACATGTTGACCGCACCGCAATCAGCCCTACACATGCTGCTATCAGAGAAACATGGCAGATTCTTCCTTCCTCCAAATTACTGTCATTATTAACTGCAAAATTGCTCCATTTGTAATTACTGCCGGCGCTGTTCAGCATCTCCAGCACAAACTATCCTACATACAGCCCAGATGTACGCTTGGACCGTGTAGTATGTTATTGCTTTTGCAGTATGAAAACACCATTAATAATGTATAATACACTGCCAAAAGTCCATATTTTATCCGTTACTTTCTCTTCACATGGGAAGGAGATGCACTTTTAGGACCACCCACACAGCAGGCCTCTGTCTCTCAGCCCTGAGGAGGAACTCTAGTCATGCTGAATCCTGAAATATCAGACATCTCCATCATCTCAGAGAAGACAGGCTCCAGACTGTAGCAGCAAGTGCTGGTAAGGTTTAGAGCAGTTAGAAGATACAAACACACACACACACACACACACATACACATACACATACACACATACATACATACATACATACATATATATATATACACACACACACACACACACACACAAAAGTATTAGTTTGTTTGTGAGTGGGCTGCAGATGGGCGTCAAAACCCTGGCTTTTCATGTCACTGAAGTCCACAGGTTGAGGTTACAATGAAAATGGTGGTAAGATGTGCCTAAATTAGAGTCTGAGAGGAAGTGTTTGTGCAAAGTGGTCATATACTCTGAAACACTATTTCTTACCATGTGCAAACTGCGGCAGTCTACAAGAGCAGTGAGCTGGTGCAGTCCAACTTCAGTGGTGTTCAAGCCCCCCTGAATTTGCTCAAGGTTTCCCTAAAAAACAGGCACACATAGTTTGAAATAAAATGGTTACTCTAAATGCAATATCTAAATAGATATTCTCATTTACATACATGTTAAAAAAGTTACTTGATCAAAAATACACTAAAATAGCAATACTGTCAACTATTATTACTGTTTTCTATTTGAATATATTTTAAAATGTAATTTATTTCTGTGATGTTAAAGCTGAATTTTCAGCAGTCTATTGTCACACACGACAAACCAAAACATTCACATTCACACAGGAGAATGTCAAAGAAGAAAGGCTTGTTTTCTTTCTTTCAAAGGCTCAATGTTGCATGAGGTCCAAGTTGTATAAAGCTGCAGTGGTAATCAGATTTTGGCTGGTTCTAAGGGTGAAATATTTCCATTGATTCAGCGTTTTCTCTCAACGCTTGTGTTTCAGCGAGAGGGTGGCTTTCTTTCTCACATGTACAGAATGTCAGCCATCACTTTGTCCCAGAACACACACAGATGCTGCACAATGACAGAGGCCCAGGGGTAATGAACACACACACACACACACAGAGTCATGCAGATATCTACACACAAGCGCTCACCTTTGTTCTGGGGTAATCACGGACTGCAGAGCGCAGTAGTTCTGACACATCGTCCTGCATTTCCACCAGTGCTTTGTGACTTCCTGACAGCTTCTACAACAAGAAAAAACAAAACCAGTTACATGCAAAGTGTAAACATGATCTTGTTGACAAGCTTATACTTATAAAATACTTATTGTATTTTTCAACATTTACAGGTATTTTAGTTTTTTTCCATTTATTTCAACAGAAAGGAATTCATAGGAATCAGGTTATTAGCATATACTAAAACTAGCACAAAAACATATTGATCTAAAGAATAGGATTTAAAAGTGCCCCAAACAAAAAAGAAAAAAAAAAGATAAAAAAAAGAAACTAATGACAGCAGTTGAAAAGCTAACTATAAAATTTCACAATGGTTTAAAAATATTTACATTCACATCTCATAATAATATGACACCCTGTATATAGTGTGGCATATACACACTTGTTCAAAAGTTTGAGGTTGATAAGGTTTTTTAAAAACATTTTTGAAAGAAGTCAAGTTCACCAAGGCTACATTCATTTGATCGAAAATACACTAAAAACAACATTGTGACATTACTATATTAGTAAAATACCCATTTTCTAATATATTTTAAAATGTAGTTTATTCCTGTGATCAAAGTTGAATTTTCAGCATCATTACTCTAGTCTTCAGTGTCACATGATCCTTCAGAAATCATTCTAATATACTGATTTGCTGCTCATGAAACATTTGTTATTATTATCATCAATGTTGAAAACAGTTGTGCTGCTTAATATTTTTGTGGAAATTGTGATAAATTTTTTTTCAGGATTCTTTGATGAATAGGAATTTTAAAAGAGCAGTAATTTTTTGAAATATAAATCCTTCACAATATTATTGTCTAGACTGTCACTTATGAGCAATTTAGTGCATCTTTACTAAATACAGTATGAATTTCTTAGTATAATTCATAAAACTATATCATTATTAATAATGCATGTAATTGTTTGATTCTAGTTATTTTCTGAAAGACACAAAAATGCAATGTTAAGAGCTAGACAGGTAATTCCACCTGGGTTGCGCAACTGACACTTCCTACCCAGTGCAGATGTATTTCCTCGGTGTTCATTCATCACTGCACACACCCACGCTCACTCCACTGTTAGTACTGCAGGAGCAGTGAGAGCTGCTTGCATAATGCAACAGTGCATTTACACCCAGCAGCACAAGTCAGTGCAGTTTCTTGCACCCGGCCATTTAGGACATTTTAATGTGTGTCATGGAGCATTTCAGGAGCACGGGTCTTGAAGACATGAATATTTGAGAAGCCAAATGGCCACTGTATCAGCATTGTCTGCCAAAAGTTCTACAATGATAGGCTGGAAAATGAGCTGACATTCACTGAGAAAGAGGTAGTGAAAGTACAACGTGTCCTTCTTTAGAAAGCTCACAGAAGATTTTTGCTTACTGTGTTGATTGCAGGCAACAGAGCTGGAAACTAAAGTCAACAGGCAGCAGCAAGTACAGGTTCAGTGCTGCTAGCAAGAATTATGAAAAACAACCTCACACAAACGCTATTCCTATGCCTTAGAAGATACATACTTTTGGTCAAAACAGCATTATATACATTACCTATTACACTATTACTACTTTTACCGAACAAGGACATTAAATTAACAGCTAAGACATTTATAATGTTACAAAAAGATTTCTATTTGGAATAAATGCTGCTCTTTTGAACATTCAAACAGAAAAGCTATTTTCAATCGTCTCAATGTTACCGTTTTTATTTGATCAAAAAACACAAACGCAGCATTGGTGAGCATTTGTTTCAAAAACTCTCAAACTTTTGGCATCCTTCACAGATAAGGAAATCCCAGAAAAATACCTCTAGTTGTTTTGAATGCAAGTGCATGTCGTGTGTGAAATGAACTGCTTATGTGCATAGTAGATAGCAAAGCAACTCTAATTTTTAAAGCATAAAACGTGAAACTTGTTGCAGAATCTTCAACATTTCTCTTTAAAATGTTCCTAAAATATTCCTTGGTGACATTTTAAGTCTGAAATCAATATCCATTTCAAGAAATTGCTGTCTCAGATGTGAATCAGGCTCATTTCATCTGTATGCTGCATGAGAACTGGAGGAACTCCATTCAGAGACATCAGCTGACAAGTAGAGTGTTCAATCTCCATATTGGGCATTACCTTTAATTTAAATTAAATGACAACAAGACAATGGAGTGGCCGCTGACATAATCCATCAATCATGATCAGTAAAGAGCTGAAATTCGTCTGAATCATGCACATGCATTATTCAAATAAAGACGTGGAGTCTGACTCCATTAACTAAAGGAAGTGGCAGGAAGCCAAAGGAGCACACAATTTCCATTGAGCCGCCCATAATAAGCAGAATGCTAATGTACAGTGACAAACGAAACAGGGGGCGGCACTTCCCCTATAAAAATCAATCATTAGCCTGTTGTTAAAGTAACAGTTCAATATTTGAAGAAACAAAAAATAAATAATTTTTAATGACACTTTAGAAATTAGGAAAAAAAAAAAAAAACTCAGTCCACTATCTGTGAAAGTCTCACAAACCTCGTAGCAATGAATTCTCAGATTACTATTTCCGTGACGCATACATGTAATGCTGTATTATATTTTTGACAAATGAGGTACCCATAGAGGTGCATAATTTTTCTATTTGCAAAAAGCCTTTCTGTTGGGAATATCTCTATGATGCCAAAGTTCTCTAGTTAGGAAGCTCACTAGGGTTTAGAACAGAGCCGATACACTTTTTTGAGGACATCTCTCAGAGATTTGAAAGTGAGGGATTTGGTTAACAGAGCAAATCTGAATCAAAAAATTACGAGGTAGAAGCTATAGTTACCTGTTGGAAGGGGTTGACCTGACCTATGTTACATGTGAGGTAATACTGCAGGATATCTGTAGAGAGAGAGAGAGAGAGAGAGAGAGAGAGAGAGGCAGTAGGTCAAGAGTAATGACATGAAAGAAATCAGCATTTATCATCTAGATCAGTGTTTCTCAACCCTGGTCCTGAGCTCCCCCCAACACTGCACATTTTGTATGTCTCCCTTATCTGACACCCATTTCAGGTCCTGGAGTTTCTTTTAATGAGCTAATGAGTTGAATCAGGTGTGTGTGATTAGGGAGACACACTAAAATGTGCAGTGCTGGGGGGCGCCCAGGACCAGGGTTGAGAAACACTGATCTAGATGAAGACCCACTCAGGTATGAGTTTTTTTTCCCCCTTGATTTGCTTGCCTCTACAAGCATATAATAAAATTTTATGCACTGCAAGTCATTATAAACCTGTAACATTCAACAAAACTTTTCTCTTTTCTTTCCATTTCACATCAGCCCAAAGCAGATGAACCCACACACATCGACACACTATCATTTACAGAGCTCAGAGAACCCACAGCAGCCATGTCAGGTATCTGAACCGCTATATTTCCAACCACGAGCAACCCTAAATTCAGTCCACAAATGCCTCACTCACCCAAGCTAAGCCAAGCATCTAATTTTTCTTATGCAGAGGAGCATTTCCCAGTCAATGCATATGAATCAATAACTAATCCCAGACCAAATCTGCAGATTTTCTTGCATAGATATTGGAGGAAAATCTGTGGAATGAATTTAAACATTCAAAAAATGTTTAAATAAAGTTAAAGGCACTATTATTGGTAGCTGAGCAGTGAGCACATAATAAATTAGCCAAAATATCTAATAAATGAATAAGACTCTAGGCCTTCAGTCTTAGGGGTGATCAGGAATAATTCTTGCCTGGTGCAGGAAGTTACAAGTTCAAATCTCGCTCTCCTGAACATTACACATGCTTCTCAGTAAATGTGCATTAGTAATAGGTGTCATATTCGGTTGAATTTAATTTTGTGATTTCAACTATTTTCAGCCAACATGAAGAGAACTTACATAAATCACACATTTGAATAGTGCTGACAGGTTACTGAGGATTTTTATGAGGACTGAAAAGAAAGACGAGAGCTGTAGACTTCCTAAATAGCAGGTTGGTATCTCAAACATTGCAGCTTGACGCTAGCAACACAAAGGTCATGAGTTTGATTCCCATAAATTACAAGTACAAAATGTACAATGTACACACACACACACAAAGTTTGGGGTCCTGTACTTTTTAACTGTGAAGTTGATTAAAATTAACTTGTAATGAATCTGATCTGTGAATGTAAAATTAATGGAAACTAAGATCTAGACTGCAGTGTTAAAAAAAAAAAACTTTCTATTTCTGCACAGGAAATGGTACTAATTCACACAGTCCTCTCACAAACCTCCACACGCCAACACAGATGGAGTCTTGGGCCATCTTCATGTGCAGCTTGCAGCGGGTTGCGTGGATGCGAATCAAAAACAGACACATGCGTCAAAGCGGTGGGTTTATTGAGGAGGAGTGATGCTTTCATCACTATCATTACACACGTGGACACACACATGGCAGCGGTCACAGGGAAAAGTCTCCCATCCCATACGACCGGCCTCCCTGATTGCCCTATAAATAGCATAATTATGGCAATGATGAGGGAAATAAACTGGCCTCTCAATTATATCCATGGATGGCTAAATACAAAAGGCTGAACTGAGCGGCATTCATTTAGTGGAGTTCAAGGCTGGATTTATAGGTTGTAATAGTATTCAGTGAGAGGGCCAGAGCCCCACAGGCTCATATGTCATGTGTAAATGACCTCCAGTAATTGGATGTAATATTGGGTGACTGGTGATGCCCATCTGAACAAAGACAATGGAGTGGCTTCCAAAAACGATCTGAGAGGAGGCAGAGCTCTAAATCCCACTCACACCGCGATGACTGCAGGCTGTAAAAGATCCTGATTCATGCGAGGCAGGGAACACGCCAGCGCACTGACAGATCTTATTTATGAAGTGCGTCACAGCTTTTCTTCAATGATGATTGTAAAATGTAACATCCTTCTGAGACGTTATCAGATGAGTAAATGGCATATATAATGGAAGACAATTATAGCATGCATTACTGTTGATTTTTTAAGAGGAAAGCGTTTAATTTTGATACATGTTTGAAATATTGTCATCTTCTGGGTTCGAAATGCATATTGAGTGAACATCAAGTACACCTGATGTGAATAAACACTGTAATGTCATAGTAAAAAACCATGCTAGTAGGCTAGTCAATCATAACAAAGCTTATTTACATGTAGAAGTAGCCTTTTTTTTTTTTGTAAAGCCAGGCTAACATAAAACAAAAGTGTACTGTTATGAAAGTACATTAAATAATAAAAAATGGAAAATAATAAAAAGTTCACTAGATTTATGATTTTAATTATTCCAAAAATGCATCACAGTCTGGCCTCTTTAAACAACTAGATTCAGCATTAAACAGCACAAAAGACATGCTGAAATACATACCGAGGCAGAAGAAACACGACGGATGGCACTGGGACATGTGCGCTATTTGTAAGTACAGATATGTCTTGGTTCTATTCTAGGGAAAAGCAGTAGGATGACTCAGTCTAGGACAGTGATAGCCAGAAGGAACACACTCAGAGCTTTCTTTGTGGTTTCCATCTACATCCATTAATGCTTCCGGCTGAATTACTGCTCCAAATATAATTCTGGACTAAAGGAACGCAATTAGTGGAAAGGTGTAAGCTAAGATCTGATGTGCATATTTTGATGATGTTCCTGGAAATCAGAGATGTTTTTAGATTCGTTTCGTATGTGTCAGTCCACTTGCCATTTATGAGCAACAAAGACTTATTTTATTCTAGAATGGTGAGAGAAATTCTGAAATCCCACTAGTATATTTTGTTCCTGATGAAGGAATCATACTTTACCAATATTTTATCCAAACTATTCATTTTGCTCCTCTTTTCCACAGAATAATACATAGTGGCCATGTCTGGCAAACTCCAAAAAAAGACAAACAAAAATCACCATAAAAGTACTGTAATAACTTGTGTGCTATACTCCAAGTCTTTCAAGTCATGTTATAATTTTGTGCGAGAACCAGACTAAATTTTGCCATGATTTTCTTGAAAATCCTCCCCTGCAGTAACGTGTTAAATTAAGTAATGAGTCACTGAGTGGAATAGATTTTTTTTTTGAGCCAATTCTTTAAGAACTAGTTCATCTGGTTCATAGATCAGACTGATCGGTCTATAGTTTGACTCACTCAGCAATGTGGTTACAATTAAACTTTGCTTTTCTCTTTAACTTCAGAACAGTGTTATTATTATAGTATTATTTAAATACTATTTTACTAAATTTTATGCAATTTTTTACTAAATTAGCAATTTTATGTGCTATTATTATAGTTTTTTTTTTCAATTCCCTTGATCTTTTGACATATAACAGGTCAATGTATTATAAAACAGTGAAACTGTTTTATAATACAAACAAAATTTGTTTGTTTGTTTTACTTTGCTACGGATTTTCAGAGAGACTGAAAGTAAACGATGATGCAGCGCTGAGTCTGAATAGAGTGGATCCAACAACATCGCAACACACAGGTGTAAGTAAACGTGTTTTTACCATTATTGCATTGTCTGTTCCAGACCGTTTGATATATACTGAGCATTTATACGTTTTTAACCCAAATGACCCATGTGGTTTTCAGAGTATGTAAGCATCCATCTGTTATTTTAATAAGCGAAACTGTTAGCCAATCATAGCAGTGGGCGTTTACTTGCAAGTCTTGAATGCGCCCTGCCTATAAAAACAGACCGTTCTGCAGAGAGGCTCAAAAACAGGATATTCACATGGATCACTTGCACATGGTCACTACAAAACTGTATTAGACTGAAAAAGCCTGGGTGAAAATTCATAATTCTCCTTCTGAGTTACAAGTCTGGAAAGACAGCACGGTGAATAAATAAAGGCAGAATTTTCAATTTTGGGTGAACTATCCCTTTAAGGACTTATTTAGAGCAAATGAGAGGAAGACTGAAGATAGGAAGAACAAAGATAAGAATAGAGCCCAGAAGACACACAATAACATGGGTGTGTGAAGCTGATAGTCATATGGTTTATCATCCCCATCCTTCAGCGGTTTTCTCTTCCTTTCCTCTTATCTCTCCTATTCTCCAGAAGTTCATGCTGTAGCTCTTCTCAGCTGACCAACAAAGTGATTAATCATAACAGACGTCAAAGCTGACATATCAAAACTGCTTCTACTACATTAATGCATATAGGTGTCCACATGCATACAAAAATACACTTCTGCTTCCTGCGTAGCACCAATTCTATCCGAGTCCCAATATAACCTCTGCATCTCAATGTCCATCTCTAATCACAGGTCCAACATAATGAAACCATTTAAAAACATTTTATAGGATTCACACATGTTCAGGGCATTGTTAAAGCTTCCTTTCCAAGGATTAAGTCATAGGAAGACCAATTTCCAATGGGCCGTATCCTGAGTCTACCTAGATTAGGCTTAACCAGAATGTGTGAGCATCAACTTTCCATCATCATCATCATCTTGCTATGGCCACCCAAAGAGGAACAATTGGACACACAAAACAAACACAGACTGAGAGAAAAAAACACCCACACAGTTGTCTCTTCCCCCTGATTTACTGAAAGCATCCAGACTCCTGTGGATAATAAGGTCACTTTGAAGAGGAACTGCTGTGTTGAGTAACACTGATAAAGTGAGGAAGAGAAAGTCATATGGAACGCTTCCTCTCTGAGCTAACAGGAAATGAAGGCCTGCGTGACTGCTCATGCCTCAGAGAACACGCTCCTCTGTCAGGAGGTGTAGGACAGTCTGAATTCAGACAGACTCACAAGTGATTCATAATAACACCTGCTAGATTAAGCATCTTACTCACAAATCAGCAGGAGGTGAAAGAAAGGGAAAAAATTTAATATCTGCGAGATTTGAAAGAAAACTCTGTATTGGAATGAAATAAAACATACCTTTCTTGATAAGCATGTACTGCTCTGACACCTTGGTTATGTACATGTCAGGTGCCGCACAGAAGTCACCGAAGCCCTAAAATAAGAGAGAAAAGCAAACAATGTATATTAAAAGAGCATAATCTACACTTTACAGCATGCTATTTTTCCCTGAAGCTAAAAGATATTTGTAGGACCATTATTCAACTTCTCTACGGACAGTTTATCCATTAAATTGATCAAAAGTGAGAGTAAAGACCTTTATAATGTTGTCCATTCCCTGTCCCCTTTTACAATGTAAAACTTCCTATTCATTTCAGCTTTCTATTCTATTCAACTTTCTATAAGAATTCTTGGAAAAATGTTCCATGGTTTCCACAAAAATATTAAGCAGTGCAACTGTTTTCAACATTGATAATAATAAGACATGTTTGTTGAGCAGCAAATCAGCATAATAGAATGATTTCTGAAGGATCATGTGACACTGAAGACTGGAGTAATGATGCTGAATATTCAGCTTTAAAATCACAAGGAAGAAATTCTATTTTAAAATATATTAATATATAATATTTCACAATATTACTGATTTTACTATTTTGATCAAATAAATGCAGTCTTGGTGACTGGTAAGTGACTTCTTTCAAAAACATCTTACCAACCCCAAACTTTTGAAGGGTAGCGTTTATATTTTAAGCCTATTTTAGCAACAGCGTTTACTAAGCATCCTGACAGCTTGCTGTGCTTTAACTGGTTGACAAGTGTTGCATTTTTTTTAAAGATGGAATGTCAAGCTAAAAAAACAGTCTAACTTTAAAAAAGGCACCTTGAAATCCCTTAATTCTGTTTCATTGCATTTTTAAGTGAGTGGGTGATGTGACGTGTGGCCAAGTATGGTGTCCCATACTCAGAAATGTGATCAGGCCTTGGTAAATCCGAAACAAACCTAATCATACAGGGACTTCCATACAACCGATTTGCCAACTAGTAGTAGGCAACCCACTGACTAGTCTATTTTGACTTTCATCTGTAGGTCTGTATATTCCTAATATGTAAATGACCTTGATTATGAGTGTTAGATTCTGAGTGTTAGAGTATGTATACAAAAAATGCCATGGCATCCCCCCTTTAAGGATGTTGTATAATATACATGCTGCTATAGAGATAAGCTATTACTGGCTGCTTTAGGTAATTCCACAGATATAATTTAGGCATTTGCAGGGAGATCACAAGAGGAAGCATCATCACTACAATACTGTCCTGCCTCTGTGTGGAGAAGCGTTGCCATGGAGACACTCACCGAGGAGACAGTCAGTTCCAGACCCAGTGAGCCCCAACTGATTACCAGCGCCAACACACCCAGAAAACACACCCTGAGAGAACACAGATAATCATCATTTCAACCATCATTATATGCAGTGTATACATACTATGCAATGCTTAGAAAAACCCTTCATCCCACTACAATTTTCATAACTTTCATCTACAATATGAATTTAATGGTGGTAAAATTACAGAGGCAACAGTAGGATTCAAAACCATTAAGTAATAAGCACACGTATTGCTATCATCCATATAGCATGCTGTTATATTTTGAGCCTCATATTTATGTAAAACAAACTTGATTAAAACATCTGCTCACCTTCACATCTAGCATCTGATGCCCACGTTTGAGCATACTTATTTATTTTTAATTAGCATATATACACAAAATAAAAATAAATACATTTTAAATTGTATTTATTTTTTCACAGTCTGCTAATCTTCAATGTTAAATTAAATGAAAATAGTTATATAATTTTAAATATAATACAATATAAAAAATAATTAAAATAATAAAAAATATAATTTATATGAATTTAATATATATATGTATTCAAGTATGTTTATATATTTTATTTTATTGGAAAACAAGAAAAAAATCTACATTCTGAACAAAAATGACTGTTTGCAGTATAACAACTCTAAAATCAAAATCGTCCAGGTAAAATGGGCAGACATTAAAGGGATTTTTTTTGGTGATGTGTACATTAATGAAAATTATAGTTCCATCTGTACCTTTAAATAAAGGCAAATCAAGCAGTAGGATGGTATCATAGTATAATGAAATGCCTTGAGTCAGGATTAAACTATGGCAACTTAAAGATTTCATGCTTTTAGCGAGTAGCAACTTTTACTGCAGAGCAAATCAATATCCTGACATTTACCTCCTGACTCGGCCTCAAGACAAACCGGCTTTTTCGCTATATAATGTGAATGTGAAATGCTAAATAACTTAACGTATAGTGAATAAGACAAGCTAGAGGGAATCAGTAAGCCAGCTTCAGGATACAGACGGCAGGCTTTAATGTGAGCTCTAGCCCGGGGGGAAACGATGCACTGCTTCCTCCTATAAGACACAGCAGGTTAACGACGGCCTTACAGATACAATGGCTCTATCTGGAACACTGTTTTTTGGCAGGACTAGTGGAAAAGTTGGGCGCTATCGACGAAAATATATATATATAAACATTCCATCTAATAAAAAAAAAAGACATTTTACCCAATGTTTGTGTGCTTTATTTTTTATAAACAGTGGGGTTCCAGAAGTAAAAATCCATTCACTTTCCCCATAGGGGAATAGATTTTTAAAAACAACTTTTAGACCTTTAAAGACAGACCTAATGAGAGCTACGATATTGTTAATCAATGGTATATGCTTTAGTTAAAGCCATCAGCATAATTTTGACATTTTTTAAAATATCTTTTTATGTTCAAGAGTGGAATTCCTGGTGAAAAATTAAACCTCTGCCAATCAGAGAACTGTCACAAGCAAACACCTAAACAGCTCTGTAGTGCATCTGCATTTGCATCTCCATTGTTTTTAAATGAATTATGTCATTCGCAGTGCTTTCTGGGATTGTAGTTCTTTCCCTCATTAACGTTAAGTACACAGTCTTGTCACTTTGATTTGAAGCAGAAAAGTATTTGAAAATCAGACAAAACGACAGTGGCAGAGTATTGGATTTGAATGCCATGTCAGCATCTGAGGCTCTTTTCATTGCAAAACCTAAGTTACAGAAAATACAGGATTTGCATAAATACAATACAAATAAAAACCAAACAAAAAGAAAAATACAGCAGTTAAGATTATGCAAGATGTTTTACATTTACATATGATAAAAATTCTAAAAGCGTTTCTAGTAAAATCTTACTAAGGTTGTCTAGCATTAAAAGCAGGACAGCCTAATAAAATATATTTAATGGAAAGGGGGGTCTTGCAAAACATACACAGAGCTGGGTCTTCCAGACAAAAAGACAACATTTGTAATGTTGTGATTGACCTCGCAGCTAGTTGGTTTGGTTCGTGGCTTATAATGCTTTAAGAAAGACTTTTTAAAAATCCTCATGGGAAAAATTAATAAGAAAAATACTTCCGGAACCAAGGCTGCTGAAAAGGTGGGTGGGCAGTGTTACATTATCTTTGCAACATCAAAATCTAGTTGTGTGTATGCATTTTCAGAGTGGCGTTTCTAGTAAAATCTTACTAAGGTTGTCTAGCATTAAAAGCAGGACAGCCTAATAAAATATATTTAATGGAAAGGGGGGTCTTGCAAAACATACACAGAGCTGGGTCTTCCAGACAAAAAGACAACATTTGTAATGTTGTGATTGACCTCGCAGCTAGTTGGTTTGGTTCGTGGCTTATAATGCTTTAAGAAAGACTTTTTAAAAATCCTCATGGGAAAAATGAATAAGAAAAATACTTCCGGAACCAAGGCTGCTGAAAAGGTGGGTGGGCAGTGTTACATTATCTTTGCAACATCAAACTCTAGTTGTGTGTATGCATTTTCAGAGTGAACACAACAACACTGCAAAAGAGCACAGAATAGTTCATAAGTACACAGATTGGGATATACCTTCCACTGGTGAGTCTCTTCACCAATAGGAGGTGTATCCCAATCTGTGTACTTATGTACTATTCTGTGCTCTTTTGTAGCACTTCAGGTTGAGTGGCAGCATGAGGAAGTAAGCTGTTTTCTGTGAATGTGCGAGACTTCCAGTTCATTAGCCGCTGTAGGGAAATACCGAGAAGAATAATAAAGTGCAGTAAACGGTAAAACTGTTTGCACAACAAACCAGTGTTTTCACAATAAAGATAATACAGTAAAATAATATGGTAAGACACACCAGTTTGCAATATCAAGCAGCAAAACAAGCTGTTTTGTCCAGCTAAAAACAGCTGGAATCAGATACGACCGGAAGCCAGACATATTAAATTTACAAATGGACGCGGCCGCTCTGGGAAAAATAAGGTGGATAGAGCAGTTTTGGAAGAGTGCTAATGTGTCTGTTTTTATGAGCTATGTTGTTCAGGCACTCTGGAGAGCTTGTCACGCTGTAGTTCTTCTGTTTTTCTGTGCCATCTCAGCTTTAAAACTTCCCAGAGGGGGTGAATCAGAGAGAAAGAGACATTATGATTTCTCTGTTGGAGCTAAAACAGAAGAGCATATATAACACTTCATAAATCAATCTGGTGTAACTGCTTTGACTGAGAGTCAGAAATCATTCATCACAGCCTCACGGAGTGGCATTGAGTGCATGGCTCTCTGACTTTTGTGGGTCACTGACAAGAGCAGATCAAATATCGCTGGTCATTTGATAGTTTCTCCAAGCTCTGTTTTCCCTGATGTACCACACATGACCCATAGACACATCCATATGACAAGTCTTACCCAATCAGAGTTCCTTTGGAGTTGCGGATGAGGCCGAAGAGCACCAGCAGGCAAATGAGCACATCAAACAGCAGCAGACCCAGGTAGCCCAGCCACCTAAAGACAACAACACATTAACATCACAAACACAGCAAAATCCACAGTCAATGTAACAAACACTGTATAACAACGTATCGCAAACTCAAATATAGTAACACTATAAGAAACGTTAACAAATAGTATAAGATGCTTAACAGATCAGTTGTATATCTAAATAATGAAATCTAAATATATGAAAAAGGGGACAGTTAGCTGTTTTTCTTTTAAGAAATTGATATTTTCAGTAACCAAGGATTAATTAAATTGATAATTCATAATGTTACAAAAAATTATAATAATAATAATATTGTAATAGTATTTCACAATATGACGGTTTTAAGTGCAGCCTTGGTAAGCATAAGATACTTCTTAAAAAAAAAAAAAAAAGTTATAGACGGTAATGTTTGTAAGTTTGAAATATAAGTTCATAGTAACATCTGTTTAAATGTAAATGCCTTGATGAAGTAGCTTTTTTTCTGAAACGTATCCATTCAAAACTTGCCAGCACGATTTTAGGGGTTGTTGTTGTTAGCATAAAGATGGCAACTTTTGTATGAGCAAGCACCATTTACATTTTCAGAATTTTTTTTTTTTAAATCAAAGCCAAAATTATTTAGTTTTATGGGTGTATCTTGTTTTGGAAGCCTGAAATTAAACTTGTTTGGCTTTTTAAGGCAAACAAACAGACCCCAAAGCAATTTCTTTCAGTGAGAAATGTAAATGGCTGACGAGAGGTGGAAAGAGGCAGCGAGTGAACAGAATACTAATTTCTATTCTCTCTAAGAGTGCACTGTTCACATCTTATGCGATACAGAGAAATCCTTTGAGCGTTTTTTTTCTCCTGACACTTTTTGGATGTTAGAAAGGTTTCACACCTTCAAACAAACTGAAGTACACTTCATAATGTGTGTCAGAAACATTTCTAGGGTTGTCGCAACACTAAAATTTACCAGTATAAGGAATTAATACATTTCTGTCAGCCAAACCCCTATTACTAGATATGTTTACTTGAAGTAACCCTTAGATTTTAATTTCATATTTACACATTTACATGTTCACAGTTCCCTATTTTTTTAAATAAATACATTACGTAATTAGTTTTTCATCAACATACAAACCACCAACACTTTCATAAACTTGAGTTAGGGAAACCCTGACCAATACCTACAAGAGCCTGTTTTACGATTCTCGAAACCAATATTAAAACCAAAGAAAAAAAAAAAATTTCCTTTATTACAAAAAAATAAAATAAATAAATACTTGAACTTGGGTGCTGGAATCTTATTTTCTTTTAAATTTTAGAATTGATTTTGTACTGAAGTAGAATGTTTGATATTCTTACATATTTCTTTTAGTGATATTGCCATTCCTGTGAAAGAAAGTACGTACCTGTACCAGTCATACAGTTCAATCTGGGTTGCCAGATCCTCCAGGGAGATGCTGAGATTGCTCCAAAAGGGAATGTCAGCCATCTGACGAACCAGCTCGTTCCGCTGATCCTGGAGTTTCTGTATGATGGACAGGTAGTCTGTGTGCTTTGCATACTGTTCCTTTAGCAGCCGAAGGTTCTCGTCCACAGTCTGGCTCTGAGCTGATGTACTTTCTGTCACCTACAAACACACACATTTGCTTTGTAAGCTCTTATCTCATGAGCTACAGATCACACAGTAAAACATCCAAGTATGTCAGTGAGATTGTCAAGCTCTGGTGTGTTTTGGAGAGATGGAGCACCATGTGAACATAACCCAGTGTGCATCAGTGCCTCACCAGTCTGTGCACTCCTGACACGGTACGGTTGGCATGGCGGAGGGAGTAGGTAAGCCGATTCACACCGTCACAGGTCTCACCATTGCCGTAGAAACCAACAGCAATGCCGGCACTGTAAGGAGACACAGAGAGAGGCATGAGGAGGAGGGGACAGGGAATGGAGGCCTTCAGCAGAGCTGCGGTAACCCTGAGGAATAGGTCAGTAATGTCCCAAAATCCCTGCACACAGCCGGAAGAAAGCGCATACATGCCTCTAATTCAGATTCCATTGTCCTGATAACACAACTGAACACACATAAACGACTTATTAAAAATAGTGAAGGCTCACAGATCCTTCAGAGCACTGATTTACAGCAGTCATTCCAAAACAGAGGTACTTAGGAATGTTTCAGGGGTACATGTAAAGATTTGAAAAATTAAATATTAAAAATAAACAATTCATTTTGTGTTTTTTTTTACTGTAATAACCGCATATACACAATCCTTTTTGACATTTATTTAATGAACAAAGCACACACAAAATGTATGACAATGCCCTAAAACAGACGATTAATCGTCATAATCACAATTATTTCTTAGACAATTAATCATCAGACAAATTTCATAATCGTGACAGACCTAAGCTTATTGCATTACATATAGCTCATAACCAGAAGGTTGCTGGTTCAAGCCTAATAAAGGCCAATCTATGAATAAGACAAATAGCCCTTTGCTCCATGGGGACTGTCAATGTAATAAGAGCCCTAAATGTTAACAATCTAAATGACTCTTCACTTACGTCTTTGTACAGTTAGCAACTAACAAAATGCTATTCTGTGGTCACAAAGAGGCTTTAGTCCATTTAGTCAAAGTGTCTGTGCAAGTGTGAGAACCACAAAGAGAAACATATTGGTCAAATGATCGATAGCACTCTATGAAACTCAACATAACATTGACTCAGACTGTTCGGCTACTACAACAGCGCTGGGAGAAGACAGATGAAAAAAATCGATTGCTCTAACAGCTTTGACCAACCAGAGAATCAGGTCACAAACACACGGCTGCCCCACAAACCCACTGAGGCCGTTCACAGCAATGTACTCCCAGCAGCGGACCACCTGCAACAGAGATGTAGATGACCACCAACACATCCAACTTGAACTTGTTGCCTCACCACCAGGTGGCAGAACAGCACAACCTGCCAATGGGGCTTTCAATCCCACTCATTCCCATTCCCCTCCCTCTCTCGCTCAAGTATGTCACCCAACTCCATTGTAAAGCATTCAATGGCAGCTACAATCAGCGGCCACCCCGCTTAAGGGGGTTCTGCAGCTAAACAAAGAGCTATTCACCACAGGACAGGCCCCGCAGCTCTCAGCCAGAGTACATTTAAGACGCATTCCATGCGCTTGCCAGTTTTATCATTTGCATCGTGAACAGGCCAAAGTCTAAGTATTAAGATTTCACAATGCGTGAATTGTGAAGGACCCATTGTCTCTGAAGCACTTCACAGGAAGTCACTTGAGTTGAAGCGAGTGACAGTCTCTCAAACTAAACTCTATATTTTGTAAACAAGCAGTCAGTTGTGTTAAACCGACGAGGTGTGTTGGTTTTATTCTCCATGCGCTGTGCTGTTCGGACGGGGCGTGTTGCAGCACGAATGTGCAGATCAGGAAGCAGATGTCACCTCGCCGTCCCCCCTGAGGCCACGGTCATGTGACCCATTAGAAAGTTCCCAGCATTCCTGCTACACTGTAAATCTGGTGGATAATCTGCATAAGCAAAGTTAACTAAATACACAAAAACACACAGTATAATCTCTCACAGCACAACATGAATGGCTAGAGAGTGATGAGGGCCATTTCTTTTCTCATATTGTTTGCATTAAAACAAATTATAATGCTACTTGTGTTTACACTATTACAGAACTATGCAATTGCGTCACTAAGAAATTATTTGTATGTAAGAAGCAGAGTTTCATATTCCCCAAGGAGGTAGAAGTAAATTAATATTTCAGGACTATATGTTCAAGGTGGCATTCTGTAATGAGTTTTTTTTTTTTTTTAAATAGAATAAAGATAAATAAATTCCAAAAATATTTCCATGACAGACAAAAAAAAAAAAAGCAATGTTCAAGGATAGAAATGCTTAGTTATAGCTGCTCAGAGATGAATAGCAAACAATACCTTCAAAAAATGTACTGGTACAATGCTGGTATAACAGTGGCCCTGAATCTCATGATTCTGTCTGAATCTCATCACTGAATATAAGATGTGATATCAAACCAAGTGGCATCTGTGAACAAATCCTGCTTAAGCTTTCCTCAGAAAGAACTTCACTTTTCTGAGGCATTTTTGCAACAACATGTAATAAACTGGGGTAAAGTCATTTTAATGGATGTATAAAGTCAAGAACAGACCCTGTCAGAGAAACCACAAATGTAGTTGATTACATTAAGTATGAACATTTTCAGTAATATTTGACAACCAGAATGTGTAATTTTGGATACTTTTGTTAAATGTTTTTACTTAACAGTGTAACTTTGCCATTTTTCTTTAAAATAAATGCCACATGGTTTGATATTTTGAACTTGCAAAGCAATACATTTTTAAACATGGCTTAAGTATACTTTTTAGGGCCACTGTATAGCATGTTACGGTTTCCTTACCATAATCATATTCAGCACCACTGTACTTAAATGGTACTGTAAGTTACTTCTAAGAATACTATGGTATCCAATTGTAATAGTATCAAACAAGGTATGGGTAGGCCAAACAAACCTGTCAGCCACTAAATAAAAAAGGCAGCAGTGAGGTTCATAGGGTCAGATACCTAAAACTAGGGCTGCACGATAAATATTGCACGATATTTAATGCGCATCTCGTCAGTAAAGCCGGTTCTGTAATCAGCGGTAAATCTCCATCACGTGCGTGCTTTCACGTGGAGCAGCATTTACTACACAGAGCCGTTGTTCACTGACAAGCTGCGCAAAACATGCGCAAAATATGATTGTGGTTTTGCGCAGCTTGTCAGTGAACAACGGCTCTGTGTAATAAATGATGCTCCACGTGAAAGCACGCATTTAACCATACAAGATATATCTCAGATTATGGTTATACTGAGAGAAGGGAAGTGATTGTGGACTCGAAGGAAAAATATGACCAGAGGACATATCAATCAATGCTCCCGCAGCTGTGGCCTTTGGTGGTCCGATATCACTGCTGTCCTGTATTAAAAAAAGCTCAGTCTGTCTGACAGTGTCTTTTCTGGGCCACAGCTCTCATGGGTCTATACAGACATTCTTCAAACAAAAAAGTAACAAAAATAAGCCACATGACTCATTAAAATCTATACCAGGGCTCCCCAATGCTAAGAAGCAGACTTTAGTTGCATAACATATAATAAGTAATGACCTGTGATTGCTGATCAATGTGAATGGGGTTAAATGCTCCTTAGAGAATAACACTCCACTGACTGGACAGATCACACTGAGCAATCTCATTACTCATGCTCGTCCTGGTGCGCCCTTCCCCCTAAAGCACAGCATCCTGAATCAGTGGGGATTTGGTTAAGTGGAGTGTCACACAGTTAAGACGAGACTGGTTCGGTCACTGTGCCCAAAGAGTGAGCGGCCTTTGGTGTTGTATACATGATCTGTATACAACAGCTATAGTTACCAATTTTGAAAAAAAAATTACACACACACATACATATAAATATATACAATACATACATAGAGAGAGTTATACAAAAAGTGCAATATTCATAATTTATGCAATATTTATAATTTATTACAACAACAAAATGAGTTCTTTGAAAAACAAAGAAACATATTGCACATTACATAGAACAAGCGGCAGGTCTATTAGTTTGCAAGACCTAACGCACAGAATTTTGGACCCTCAATTGCTATAGTTGTCATTTTCGGATCCAATCCCACATTTAAATATGGTTCTCATTCTAAAGATTTTACAGTCTGTAGCTAGCAGTGAATCTTTTAATGGATGTCTGTGATGGTTACAATACGTTAGCACTGAAAAAACATAAATAGAAACCTTTGACACTTTCGGAGTGATTACACATATGCGCAGAAGTGTTTAAAAAACAGCGCCTATGAGCTATCATTGTAGTGAGACAAAAAAAAAAAAGGTAATGAAACTCTTATTTTTTTTTTATCTTATAGTTTACAGATTATTGATATCACAATATTCACATTCCCCAATGTTATATGTCAGCAAAAATATTGCGATAATATTAAATGTACCGCCTACGCCTACACTGTCCATTAACATTAGCAGAGACAGAATATCTTTCATATGTAAGAAATATTGACATTATAACTGAAATATACCTAAATGAACTGAACTGAATCAAAACTGAAATCAAGAGCGTGTGAATCAGAATCGAATCTGGGAATCTGCTATAATTAAATAATTTGTATATTATACAATGATGTGCAACTGGACAGATCCATCATATTTCTGTTGTAAAAATGTTGGATGGACACAAGCTTATATACTCCTGTCTCAAGCCCTTCAAAAGCCCAAATCAAATGCACACTAGCTGCTGTGATGCTATCAGAGCCTTTGAAGTGGCTTCAATGTCAAGTCATGAGCCGATTAGCATAAATTCTGTAAAGGTTTCAAAGTCTTGCACTGGATTTCCATAATTTTTAGTTATGTAGCACTACAGCTAAAATATGTCTGAAGCTGCAGACATCGGAAGTCCAAGCGTGAAACTTAGGTGCTTGTGCATCTGGAATGAGTCCTCCAGGCTGTTTCACACCAACTACATTCAAAGTAGTGGACTTGACTTGTAAGCTTCCAACTATATAAATTCTGATTGAACAGCGTGCATTTGAAGGGATTTCATCTGGACTAAATAATCCATGTGGTGCAACAGAACACAAAATAGACAATAAACAAACACACCTATGAAGGAGCAAATAACAACACAAACCCTAAATGTTACTCACAATAAACAGGAAACATTTAGAGTAGGCATAACCTACACGACTGATTGGACAGTGAAGGAATCTACAGTTACATGACTTAGATTCTGCTGTTTACGATCACTCCTCTGCGTCGTCATGAATCATTGATTCAGGACAGGGGATTGCATGTCTCAACCACA